GGCGGCCCCCCGGGAGCCCGCAAGCCGCCAGCTCCCGGGAACAGCAGGCACGCTGTGCTCGGCCCGGCCTCTTCTCCAGAACCCCGGTTCTCTGCGGGGTGCGGTGACTAGAAACCGAGCTCCAATCGCCAGGTTGCCCTTCGCTGCTGACTCTCGGCTTCCCTGCAGACCAGAGCTGGGGAAGGCACCATTTTTAAAAATTCCTGAACTAAAGCTGATGCCGCCGGCTCGCATACAGGGTCACGAGGTCCTTCCTCGCCTTCTCCCTCGGGGACAGGCTTGGCTTCCGGCAAATCAGTTTACGTCCTCCCTTCTCTGACCCCGAACGCTTACTCTCATTTTTCTTTTTCTGTCACCCTCCTCTTAGTCTTTTTTTCTTCTTATCGTTATGCTGCAAACGCTAAAGAATGGGAGATTTTTTTTTACCTCTCTTTCTCCCTAAATGGAGATCGTGGATGTCAGCACGTCACATGGCTCTTCCGAGGGCACCTGGGCTCGCCGGGGGGCTGCGGGCATCAGAATAAGCGGGTTCTGAAGCCCCGGTGTTTAAACAAGGTGCCGCTGCCCGCTTCCCTCGGGCTCGCGCCCAGCACCCAGTCCTCGGGTGAGCTCTCTGCTTACAGCTTCCTGGAGAAAACGCGCCTGGAGTGAGTTACACCCTGAGGAACGTGCGACTGGGTGGCCCAGGGGTTTTCAGGACGCAGGTGGTGGATGTGTGCGCAGCGGCGGGGAGGGGCTGGGAAGGGGTGAGCCCGGGGGCCGTGGCTGGAAGTGAGGGAGGGAGAGGCTGTGTGCACACCAGCCAGGAGAGGGGAGCCTGGGGTGGGAAGGAAGGAAGGAGGGACCACCACACACTCACTCCTGGGTGGAAACCAGGGCTCCTGGAGCTCAGGAGCCGCGTCGGCCTGACTGTGGGGGATGCAGGCGCTGGGCTGCAGGGAAACCCGCGGCTGACGGTGACAGCAGGAGTCCGGAGGCAGGAGCCAGAGCCCCGCAGCTGCCCGGCTCCTCTGCCTCCGCTGAGGCTTTTAAAGCGAGGCCACCTTCTCCCCTCCTGCGTGCATCGCCTTTCAGGGAACACAGACGGTGGTGTGTAACTGTCCCCTCCAGGCGTGCAACCCGCCCGCCTCTCAGGCTGACCTGCCTCAGCCTCAGGCAGAGGCTCTCGCACGGGCAGACATCAGGGCTCACCGGCTTCGCCGGGCCCCTGCATGTGGCATTTGGATTTCACAGCCCGGGGACAGATCTGAGAGGAGAGCTGGCCAAACCCGGAAAGAGGCCCGCGGGTCCCCACGCCCCGCTGGTTCCCCGGGGAGCAGGCAGCCGCGGCCGCACGGCTGGGTTCCCCCAGGCACTTTGTGCCCCGGAACCCTTCCTACCGGCTGCCTGCCCCGCGCAGCGCCGGCGCTCAGATGGCTGATGCCGTCTCTGTGTGTAACATGCGTCACGGGAGCAGCTGGTCCTGCGTCAGAAGCGTGAGCGGTCGTGCCCACTCGTCCCCACGGAGGACCAGCAGGGCCGGGCTCGTGGGCTGGATGAACACAGGTGTGCGGGGGCCCGCCCTCCGGGGGCTCCTGCATCTGGCTTGGGGCTCAGTTACCCAGGAGACGGGCACCGCCCGGCTCTTTCCCACGATGAGTTCTGGGGCGTCGTGCTGGGTCCGCGTCTCCCCAGCCTCCCCCTCAGAAGGGGAAGGAGCTGGAGTCCACGTCCCTGGCTCTTAGCTGCTTGCCTGGTCCCTGGGGACGGTTCTGCAGGATGTTGCAGACGGTCCCCCGGGGACTCCCCACCTCCAGGCGCGGTCACTGGAGGGGTTCTGGCCGCCCGTCCGGGCCGTGCCCCCCCCCCCAGCTCAGCTGCCTCCCGCGGGGCCGGGCTCTCCTTCCCACGTCCCCACCTTCCCAGGCGCTCCGTTTGTAAAAATTCTCTTCCTTTTGAATCTCTTGCCCCAGCTGGAGACTTGGCCAACGAACTGGTCCGGCATTTCTTGATCGAGTGCACCCCGAAGGGAGTCCGGTTGAAAGGATGCCCCAACGAGCCGTATTTCGGTGAGTGGCCGAGAGCCCGCGGTTGGCGTCCTGAACCCATGAGCCCGTTCGCAGTGGGAGCTGCCTCGGATCCCGCAGGCGGGAGGATGTCTCTGCCGAGAACCAGCCGCAGTCCCCTTCCCCTTCCCCATCTGCCGCGCCCCTCGGTTATTGAGGCTTTGCCCAGAGCCCCCCAGTAACGGAGCGTGCGTGCTGCTGAAGACGGAAGGGCCCCCCTTCAGCAGGTGCAGCGTACTCACGCCTCTTTGGTCTTCGCCCGTCCTCAGGGAGCCTGACGGCCTTGGTGTGCCAGCATTCCATCACGCCCCTGGCTCTGCCCTGCAAACTGCTCATCCCGGACAGAGGTACGCTGCCGGCTGCCCTGGGGCCGCTCTGGCTGGCTGGGTGGGCTCGCCCGCCCGCACAGATCCAGTGAGAACAATCAGTCCGGAAGGTTCCTTCTGCTCCCACGCTGGGGGTCCGCCCTGAGTAGCCCACCCCGGTCACGTAAGAAGAGGTGGTCCCTCTGCACCCGCAGCCCTCGGTCGTATCTTCACATCGTGGGCTTTGGGAACCGTTTCCGTGGAGCAAAGTCCCGTGGCTCAAAATTACAACATGCCTGGACTGAGGGACCTTCAGGGCCATTTACGTGTGAGTTTTATAATTCGGCACGACCACCAGCTGTTGATACTGTTGGCCGGAGGTGCGGGAAGGGCTCGGCTCTTTCTCTTGGTGTCTGTCTGAAAATACCCACAACACACATTTAACAAAGTGGCGTCCACTTCCCCGGACAGCCTCGAGGTCACAAATGGCGTCCTGGTCCAGAAAGACGATTCGTTTAAAATACAGGCAAAGCTGACTGGCTTTCTAAGATGCAGTTGTTCGTCTCCATTCACCCAGAGACGAGGAGGGTGTTTCACTGGGCTGCGCCTGCCCCGGACGTGGTGACGGTTTCTCCGGGCCGGGCTGTTGTCGCCTGGGGAGCCCCCACTCTCCGCGAGCTCAGTCACGGGCGTCCCCGCTGTCACGAGGGTTCTTGCCGGCGAGCCGGACTCATGTCTGTGTTTTCTTGCTCCTCCCGGCAGATCCGTTGGAGGAAATAGCAGAAAGCTCTCCCCAGACCGCGGCCAACTCCGCGACGGAGCTGCTGAAGCAGGGGGCAGGTGGGTCCCTGCTGCGTCCCCCACGCCTCCCTCGGCACCGCCGGGCTCCTTTCCTTCCCGTGCGTCCCGGGAGGTTTCCGCTGGGAAGCTGCACTGGGGCTGGGGGGCCCAGGGGTCGGGGCGGCAGGGCCAGGACTCCGCAGGCTGATCAGGACCAAATTCCGTGGAATCAAGGTCGAGTCCTGGGTTTTGTTCGGGGGGTGTGGTGAGGCAGGGCGTGGTGACCTGCCCCTCCAGCTGCAGGCGTGCAGATGTGCACGTGACCAGTGAGTCCGCAGAGGGGCCCGCGCTGCCCCCAGCCCAGGCTGACCCCAGGCGGCGACTCCCCGCGGCACCGTGTACTTGGTAACAGGTTTTATTTTTCAGCTCAGGTTTAGGTTCACAGCAAACCTGGCAGGAAGGCACAGGGATTTCCCATGTGGCCCTGCCCCCACACGTGCACAGCCTTCATCCCAGCCCCTGAGCCTGCAGGGGCCCGTCATCGCCACCAGCGCCCGCAGTTTACATGAGGGCTCCCTCTCGGCTGTGTAAGGGCACGTGTCCAGCATTGCTGTCCCACGGAGCAGTGCCTCCGCGCTCCACCCACTCGCCCCCTCCCTCACCCTGGCCACCCCTGGTCCTTGATTGCCCCGTGGTTTTGCCCTTTCCAGAGTGCCGCATAGTTGGAATCATACAGCACGTAGCTCTTTCAGACTGGCTTTCTTCCCTGGGTCGTATGCGTTCAGAACTCCTCCATGTCCCTTCACGGCTCTGGGGCGTGCTTCTTTTTATCACCAAATGATATCCCATCGTCTGGACGGACCACAGTGTATCTGTCCATTCGCCCACTGAAGGACATCTTGGTTGCGACCACGTTTTGGCAGCTGCGAATAAAGCTGCCGTAAACATCCACATGCAGGTTACAACGTGGACATGGTTTTCATCTCCTCTGGGTAAAGACCAGGGAGCCGAAATGCTGGATCGTAGGGTAGGAGTGTGTTCATTCTGTAAGGAGGCACCAAACCGTCTTCCAAAGTGGCCGCACCGTTTGCATCCCCACCGGCAGTGCTGTGTCCTGTGGCCCCACGTCCTCCCCAGCGTGTGGTGGCGTCTGTATGCTGGGTCGTGGTCCCTCTGGTTGTTTTAATTTCGCATTTCCCTGGCGACGTTTGACATGAAGCACCTTCTCAGGTGCTCGTTAGCCACCTGTGTGTCTTCTTCGCTGAGGTGGCTCCGAAGGCCGTTTGTCCCTCTTTTAATGGAGTGGTTGTTATCCTATTGTTGAGTTTCGAGGGCTCTTCGCATGCGCTGAATACAGTTCTCTGTATGATTTGTCTTTTGCAAATACTTCCTCCCAGGCCGTGGCTGGTCTTGCCGTTCTCTTGACAGTGTCTCTCGGGGCAAAAAACGTTTTGTGGGAATGAAACCCATTTTTCAGCACTTCCCTCCATGGGGCGTGGCTTTTGTACTGTATCTAAAAATTATCACCAAACCAAAGTCATCGAAGTTTTCTCCTTTGTTGTCTTACAAGAGTTATAGCTTTGGGTTTTACACGTAGGTCTACGTTCTATTTTGAGTTAATTTCTGTGAAGGGTGGAAGGTCTGGGTCCAGATTCATGTTTTTGCACGTGGCTGTCCGGTTGTTCGAGCCACATTTGTTGAAGAGACTGTCTTTGCTCCTCTGTCAGAGATCGGCTGGCAGTGCTTATGTGGGTCTGTTTCCCGGCTGACCGTCCTGCTCCACTGATCTGTCTGTCTGTTATTTCACAAACACCACACTGTCTTGATCGCTGTAGCTTCAGAGTAAATCCTGAAGGCGGGTAGTGTCAGTCCTCCAACCAAGGTCTTCCCCTTCAGTCTCGTGCTGGCTGCCCTGGGTCTCCTGTCTTTCCACAGACACTTCAGAACCAGTGTGTTCTCGCCCGCAGAGTATTGGAATTTCAGTGACTCCACAGATCAGCTTGGGGAGAACCGACACTTTGACTCTGTTGAGTCTTCCTGTCCATGAACATGGGACATCTCTCCATTTATTTAGTTCTTTGATTCCATTAGTGGGACTTTAGCCATTTTCCTCATATAGGTCTTGTACCTATTTTAGCAGATTTACACCTACCTATTTCATTTTGAGGGAGGTGCTAATTTACATGGCATTGTGGGGTTTTTTTTAATTGAAGTATGCTCAGTTGCAGTGTGTCAATTTCCAGTGCACGGCATCATGTTTCAGTCATACACGTACATACGGATATTTGTTGTCATGTTTTTGTGCATGGTAGGTGTTTATAATTCCACATGCCACTGTCTTCTGTTGGTGTCCAGGAAAGGGACCGACTTGTGTGTGGTCACCTGCAGCCTTGTGCAGTAGCTCACTCCTGCAGCATTGGGTGCCCAGCTAGTGACCCCAGCTTGAGAGGGTTGTGGATGAGCCAGAGACCACAGGGTGGTTGTGGGTCTGTGGCTCTGAGGGACGGACACGGCTGGAGAGGACTAGGGGCCCCGTGACCTGAGATCCCGGTTAGAGGCCTTTCCCACAAGGTGGACATTGACTCTCAGAAGTGCTGGCGAGGGAATCCCTGCGTCTGCGGGAGGCTGGACTAGGCTGCCCCCGTTCTCCACCTTTCTCTGCCTGTGGAGTTCTTCCTAGCCGTGACTCCGGAAACGAAGGAATGTGCAGGAAACAGGCATTTTGTTGCATCCTCTGCCCAATGTGCATCGTTCTTCTGTGCCGGTTTTCTCGGCAGCGCTGCTCAAGTAAAACCTCTCTGTTTTGAAAGGAGACTTTTAGTGCTGGACTCTCTGTAGACCATCCTTAAAGGATACGCTCTCCGTGGCCAGAACAAAGGTGACAGGTGTTTGCCCAAAATAACGAACACACTAGAACCGAGGCCCCGAAAGGCAGCAGGTGTCTGTGTCAGTCCCATTTCTGATCCAGGCCTCCCGCCCCCGCAGGACCCTTGGCCTGCAGACGTCAACATTATCATGATAATCTCTCCCCAAGTCAGTAGCCACAAAGACCAGAGGAGTAGGTGCTGAAAAGTGCCTCGGGGACCAAAACGTGGTCACCTGAACCACCGTGCCCCTGCCGCTCTGCTTTTGTGTAAAAAGGCTTCTCCTGGCCCAGGAGGAATGGCCATCCTCTCTGCAGGGCCCAGTTGAAAGGGCCAGTCCTGGGTGACAGCCCGTGGCAGCTTGGAAGCTGCGTCCCCACGGCGGAGGCCATGAGCTCTCCGCCTGCACACTGTTGCCGGGGGTCACCCCCACCCAGGTGCCAGGGCAAATTACGCAGCAGGTGGACAGTCATCCGGGTCTCCTTGGCCCCAGACAGGGTGACTCTGACACTGGTCTTGGGGCAGGTGTGTCTCTGGGTCGCCACTGTCCACGCCCGTGGAAGTAGGGGCAAAGGGCGTTGGCCTCGGCCGCACCTCACCCAGGCCGCGGGGATGTGCGGTTCACACGCCTCCCCTCGGTGTCTTCCAGCCTGCAACGTGTGGTACCTGAACTCCGTGGAGATGGAGTCCCTCACCGGCCACCAGGCCATTCAGAAGGCCCTGAGCATCACCCTGGTCCAGGAGCCGCCCCCCTTGTGCACGGTCGTGCACTTCAAGGTGTCGGCCCAGGGCATCACGCTGACGGACAACCAGAGGAAGTGCGTGTGAGGGGCGGCGGGGGCGGGCGTGAAGGGGTGTCAATTTTGTAAATGCAAACATTTTTCAAGTCGTTTCTGAGAAACATTCAGACTGTGATAGGGGCCACTCCCCTGCCCTTCAGTGTCACTGCTCCTGGCTGGAGATCATCCTGTCCAGGCGAGCCTGTGGTCTTTATGTCCACGTAACATCAGTGATTATGTAATAACATAGTAACACAAGGATGCTTGATGCTAACAGGAAGCATTCATTTCCTAGACGTGAGAGCGCGTCAGTACCGTCTGAACGCCCAGACGGCAGACACCACCTCCGGCCCCGGGGCTCCCCTCCGAGCAGGGCTTCCGGCGGGACATCGGGGAGGGACACCGGGGAGCCTGGCCCTAGCGTGGGGGCGCGGACGGAATGGCGGCAGACGCGTTCCTCCCCCGGGCAGGGCCTTGGACCAGGGTCAGAGGCATTTCAGAGGAAGTTGCTCCTTGTCATGCAGACGGCCTCGTTGACCAGGGGGCCAGGCCGTCAGCCCTAAAGGTGGTGGCAGGAGCTTCATGGGGCAGTGGTGGGTTGGGGGGCCGGCGAGGAGCACGGCTTCTTTCTTCAGAGCATCTCTGTTGCTCCCAGCTGCGTGCTCTTCCTGTGTCTCCGGCTTCCCTGTGTCCTGATAAAGCTGCGGGGGTGGGCCGCGTCCCCTGCACTCAAGAGTCCTTCCTGTGGCAAGACACGGGACTGAACCCACTGGCTGATGTGGGTGGAGGGGCTTCCCAGTAACAGCCAGCCTCGGGGTCCCAGTAACAGCCAGCCTCGGGGTCCCCAGATGCCTGGGCTCCGCCTGTGCTCTCCCTGATGCTGGCCCCTCCCCTCTTGCCTTCTCCTACGAGAGCACAGCCCTCAGCCTCTGGGGACACCACTGTGCTGGACGGGGTCATGGAGCCTCATGACCCCAGGCCCATAGGAGCTGGGCAGGCTGTCAGGGAAACGGGGACCCGGGACATGGACAAGGGGGGTCCCCTGGGGAAACGGGGAGCCAGAACCAAGGACAGGGGGGTCCCATGGGGAAACGGGGAGACAGAACCAAGGACAGGGGGGCCCCCGGGGAAACGGGGAGCCAGGACTGAGGACAGAGAGAGGGGTCCCCTGGGGGCTCCCCCCGCAGCTGTGCGGGGCCGCTGTTAGAAGCACGTCCCTGGGATTTCCTGAGCACAGCCCTCGACAGTTTGGCCCCTGTCCTGGGGCTGTGGCCGGCTCTTCACATGCTGTTTCACAGGCCAGCATCCAGACTGGAGACTGGGGTGGTCTCCGGGGGTGAGGGCAGGCGGTCGGGCGTCACTCCCTGTGACCTGTCCCCCACACGCTCTGCAAAGAGCCCCTCACCCAGGCCCTGCCCACTTTCCTAGAGCGCCAGCTTCAGGTCTGCTCACTTCCAGCGGGTGAAAACGCAGAATACGCTTCCGCCCCGAATCTCCTCGCGGGGGCCCCGGTGCTGCACTGTCCCCGGACGCCCAGTGACGGGCCCGCCCCCCTGTCCCCCACAGGCTCTTCTTCCGAAGGCACTACCCCGTGAGCAGCGTGATCTTCTGCGCGCTGGACCCCCAGGACAGGAAGTAAGGAGTGTGTGTGTGTCAGCCCCGCGCCGCGCCCGCCGGGCCCGGGGCCTGAACTCACTCTCCCTTTCTCTCTGACTTGCCAGATGGATCACAGACGGCCCCTCCTCAAGGTACGTCGCCAGCGGTCTCCACAGCCTCCTGGTGGACGGTCGCCTCCGAAGCCGAATTCTTTCCCAGCTGCCCAAAGAGGAGATGACCCCATAACGCCAGCGGGTTGGGGTCTGGCTTTACACAGAAATGAAAGTGTTCGTAGGCAGAAAGTGTCCGCAAAGGGTGAACTTTTCTGCTGGCTCTTTGAATGAGCAGTATTTACATGCAGCCCATAAGATACGGTACAGAGAGCGTGGGGCGGTCAGCACAGCGTTTCCAGCCTGGCCGCGGGGCCTCGGACCCTCCAGAGCCGTCTGCGTCATTCCCCCAAACATGACTGCCACGGCGTCCAACCTCGGGGGTCCCCTTCCAGGATTCCGATTTCACACTCCTCCTCTGGGCATCTGATAAAGTGTCGGGCGCCTCCCCAGCCCCAGGTGGGGCGTGACCCCTGGCTCTGGCCCGCAGGGTGAGCGGCACTCCCTCCTGCGTGGACGGGGCCGCCCCGAGGGGGCCACTTGGCGCCATCGGCCAGTCCCTCCCTTGGCGTGGCAGCCACTCAGCTTGTGCAAAAAGATTCCGCATTGCCCTGAGAAGGAGGAGAAAGATTTGGATTCAGATAATGGTAGTTACTGTGTTAAGTTTGGGCTTGAGAAATGCTATTCAGCATTGAGAAAGGCTTCAATTCTAAGGAAAACAGTTCGACCCTGCCGCTCTCTCAGTGTCCTCTCCTGCGTGTAGCCTGTAACTCAGGCGCACGAGGCCTGCGAAGGGGGCCCTGCTGTGTTTTCACCCCCCATCCTCTGGCCCGGGTGTGGGAGGAGTGTGGGCGTCCGGGTGGAGCCCACCAGCATGCACACCATCTCAGGACCAGAGCTGGGGTGTTGGGACTCACGAGGTCTGTGAGGAGAGACCAGGCGGCCCCTTAGGAAGGGCCAGGTCCTCCCCTCCAAGACGCAGGCGAGCCGCTCAGGAGCCGTGCAGCCTCTGGAGGGGTCTGGCCAGGCCTGGGGCAGCCGCTGCAGTGCAAGTCCCAGCCCTGCCCCTCGGGCTCCTCCCCTGTGACACCTGGGCTCAGCCCCATCCCCGAGGGTCTGCGAGGTGGAGGGAGGCGGGGCAGGTGGCTGGCGGGCTGGCCCCTGGGATGATGCAGTGGCCGGGAGGGGGAGCGGAGGCTGGCACCCGACGGGACGAGGCCCTCTGCTCGCTGACCCGCCTTCCTTTTGCAGGGTCTTCGGTTTCGTGGCCCGGAAGCAGGGCAGCGCCACGGACAACGTGTGCCACCTGTTCGCGGAGCATGACCCCGAGCAGCCCGCCAGCGCCATCGTCAACTTCGTGTCCAAGGTCATGATTGGCTCCCCGAGGAAGATCTGAGCCTCGCGCCGGGAGACCCCCAGAGGGGCCGGCTGTGCCCCCGACCTCCCCGGCCCAGGAGGGAAGGGGGCCCTCCAGCTTACACACCAGAACAAGCCACCCCGCGGCCCAGTGGCCTTCCCGGAAAGACACGTTTCTGCCTCCCAGGGCCCCGGCGGAGGAAGACGGGCGCCGGGTGGGCCCCCATACTTGCGCTCTTACATCTGCGAGGGGAGGGGAGCCCAGCCCGCTCGGCAGTGGCCCGAGTGGCCGCTGTGCCTCGGGGTAGCCGTCTCGGGGGGGCTCCTGTCCAGCGGACACCCTGGCGCCTCTGTCCTCCCGCGATCACCACGGAGAGGCTGATGGGTGGGCCTGAAGAGGGGTGCACGCCTAATTAAGGTTCGTGCAGGTCAGGCGCTCCGGATCCCTGGGGCGTGAACGAGGGGTCGGCGAGATGGGCGGCGAGGCCAGGAGGTCCCTGGGTCCCCGTGGAGGGGCTGCCTCCGCCTCCGCTTGCCCAGCTCTGACTGGCACGCTGGGCCGGGAGGGGAACGCCGTTTCCATAAAAGTTACGTTTTACTTCTGCCAAAGTATTTATGGGAACAGTTTGCCAGTGCTGTGCAGTACTGGGGTCCAGTTACTGCCGCCTCCCCAGCTGGGTTCTGGGCGGAGCGTCTGCCCCGGGGCGGGTCACCGAGATTCGGAGGCTGTGGGTCCCCACCGGCGATGCCGTGGGCCGTGGCTACTGCCCGCAGCCCTTCCGAATTCCTGACCATCCGCAGGTCCTTTCTGGGGAGGACGGCTCCAAGGGGTGAGACGCGCTTAGTTGTAGCCTCAGTCCCCACGCCGCACCGTCGTCTTGGGGTGGAGACTGTACTGAGGACCCTGCCCCGGGGACCTCTCGGCGGTCTTGTCCGCGCCTCTTGGCTCCTGCGTTCCGGCAGGAGGATGAGACCGGATGAGTCTCGGTCCTTCCAGGGAGCTCTGACTCAGCTCTGCTGCGTGTCCGCGGCCCGGATCAGGCGCGCTGTCTGCGCGGATGTGCGCACTGCAGTGCCGTGGTCCGTCCGCCCGTCGGGCAGTGGGTCCAAGGTGCCGCGGATGCCGCGGAGCGAGAGACGGAGCTGCGCACCACCGTCTCCTTCCCCGTCACCCGGGCGCTCGCCCCCGGGCTCTCCCTCGAACGAGGGCTTCCCGGGCGCCTCCGCATCCCCAGTCAAGCACCAGCCCTCAGGTCACCAGGAATCACCGCAGCCAGCGGTCACCGCGCAGGGCTTTGGAAATGCGCGTTGTGGACTGTTTCAAAGTGGGCAGAGACAGACTCGGCCGCAGCAGAGGTGGGAGGGCCGAACCGCAGTGGGCATCGAGCGTGTGCGCCTGCGCGCGTGGGTGTGCGTGCCTGTGTGAGTGTGTGCGCGCGAGTGTGTGAGAGCAGGCGCTGAGTCCACTGTGTAGCTCCTATTAATGCACCAAACGCAAGTGCCTCGTTTCTGTGCCAAATGTTTGCCTTGGTCTTCGTGGACCACCTTCCCCGCCGCATGGCTGCGTGGCCGGTAAGAAGATTGTACCGGCATCTTCGGAGGCCCGACGCCTTGGTCCTCGGCAGTGGCGTGTCCGGCATTTCCGTTTTCCATCCTCAGCAGGAATTCAGCCCAGGGGGCAGCGCTGCCCCCAAGACCTGCCCCCTCCCGAGATGCTCGAGCCCAAGTCTGACCTAAGGGCCGCAGGCAGGTGCCTCGTCTTTCTGACGAAGCAGGAGCGGGCAGGATTGAGAAGCACGAACCCCGCGTCAGAGAGAGCCGGGCCTCCCCGGCCGCGCTTGTCCAGAGCATCCCAGCCACGGCGCTTGCTTTATAGACTGACCGGCCGCCGAGACGCGTGCTCTCGGCAC